GTTAGCAGCATTCCTCGACCCCTCCCTCTCCCCCACAGAGTGCCAGAGGAGCATGATGCAGGGATCAGCAGGGCTTTTGGATCTGAAGAAATACATGAGTGTGGAGAGAACGGGGGTGGGAAAGTCCTCCTCTGTCTTCTGAGGTGCCCCCACTCCTCCTTTTGGGCGTGCAAGTCTCCCAGGACGAAGCCCCAGCCTGCTCCTCCAGCATTGTGGTGCTTTTTAACTCCAGTATTGCGACTGGTTTAAATGGGAGTTCCCACTGTTGCCGTGTGATCTGGACACAGGAAACCTGCACGGATTTTTTTAGCAGTTGGGAATCCAAGGATAAAGCCTTAGGTGTAGTTCAATTTTCATTGCCCTTTTTCTTTACAAAATAGAAACCATTTAAAACTCCTGGTAATATTGCACACCTCTACAGCATGTTACTAATGATACAAAAGTCTTGGGGCTGGGGAGTTTTACAAACAAAAGTGTTAACCAGCATATATAGGAAATGTTTCTGATTTAAGGGGAAAGGCACTAAGCAGAACCCATCTCCCTCACTGGTATTGTAAAGGGTGGTTTTCCTGTGCAATACTGTCGCGAGGCTGTGTATACTTGTGTCATGAGGCGATAAATTGCAGCTTTAAAGGGACTGTTGCTGTTGTCCACTGCGGCCTTTCAGCTGAAAGGGCTGTGTCTGTCTTTGCTGGGCCCGGTCTGAGCTTAACCGTGATGGTGGTCACCTTGGGTGGCTGAATAAAAGCATGTGTACGCACTGCGTAAACGGCGTCTCGTTCACGATGCTGCCAGGTTTCAGCACCAGGCCGTTACCTTCGTGGAGCAGGTTACTCACAGGTTCAGGCTTCAAAGTCATGTTGGGGATGAACACAGCCACCTGCTCGTACAGCCGTGCCTCAGGGCAGCCGCTCCACCCTTCACGTTTTCTCTTTGTGTGTTTCAGGTAGTTTATTTAAAACTCGATGCACCAACTGTGGAAATGTAGCTGCAAATTACAAGAGCCCGATATGCCCCGCATTAGCTGGGAAAGGGTAATACGTCTGCCTTGTAAACTCTCTGTGTTTTCTACTTTGCCTGCTGTTCAGCAGAAAAGGAGCCATTTTAGGAGCCTGTAGGAGTTTCAGCCAACCTCCCCATTTTCCTTTAGTAGTATTAATGTTTAAATTTTACACAACTGTTTTGAAACGTGAGTATGCCACTTGGTAACTTCTGTGAGAGCCCATGATACCATCAGTCCCGTGAATGAATGACTGTTAACCTCTAAGTTAGCACAACATTATATGTGTTTTAATTAGAAGAATTTCAGATGGTCTGAAATTCTCACCGTGGACATCAACTGATCATACTCTTGGAGAACGTGTGTTTACTCCCCTCCTCTTCACCTTCCAGGTTTTTTATTAAATTGGATGCTTATTCCTTAAATTGGACTTCGTATGTGGATTGTCGTCTTCTGCCTCCCTGAGCACCTAGTAGCTTTTGTCTTTTGACTCATCAAAATACTCATGATGACAGGTCTCAAAATACAGGTGTGAAACAGTCAAGAGGGAAGCATCACTTCCCAGCCTGTCTGCAACTTAAAAAATTGCAGAATCCTTCAGTCTCCCTTTTTCTAGCCATCCCCTTTCTTTCACCATTAAAAAAACAGGGCGGGGGGATGGGACAGACGTATGCCCGTGGATTTTTAGGTTTTTTCCCTTTGCGTTTCACCAGATCTTTAGAAAGCTATGGAAATACTCGCCGTGCCTCTGACAGACTTTGACCGGCTCATTACAGTTGTTTATCTCTTGGGTAATTCTGGACGAATGCCCGCCTGCCCTCCATGTGGTATTTTAGAGTTGTAGTAGGTGTTGAAGTTGGAAGAGGTTGCAAAGATTCCTTGACTGGAGAGTGTGCTTTAGAGAATGCTAAGTTTTTATCAATATATAAAGTACTCTTTGTACAATAGAACCTGTATTTCAATTTTGTCCCTTCAGGGCTCCGGATCCTGCAACAGAAGACGCCATGATTCCAGTTGAAGACCTTCCTCAGTACGTATGGATGGCGTTATTGCTGTTCCCTCTTCAGGCTTCATGCATCACCAAGGCTTCTGTTACTGGTCACGTAGTTTTGGAAGGGCACAGAGACGTTCTACAGGAGAACAGACTTTGCCCCAGAGAACTGAGCCTAAAGTTAGGGGGGCAGCAGACAACAGGAGTGTGGCCTAGAAGTTCACCGCGATGCTAAAGGGATCGCGTGGTCGTGCACTTCAGCAGCAAGCCGAAATGTGCCTGAATTCACGGGGTTTGTAGTCAGGGGAGCAGTAGGAGGATTGCGGTGAGAAACGAAGTGCTGCATAGTGAACATTTTGTTCCTTAGCGGGTGCTACCTGCTGCTAGTCAGTCTGGAACGCTGTGCTGGGGCACAGGCCCTCGCGGGCGTTACGTTTCATGCTGCCCCATTGTGGTTTTTCAACAGGTGCGAGGAGGACGGCTGCAGCGGTCTCCTCCGTCCCCACGTGGTGTGGTTCGGTGAAACCCTGGACCCTGACATTCTCACAGAGGTTGAAAAGGAGCTTGACATCTGCGACCTCTGCTTGGTAGTGAGTGACACTTCCATTGCCTCGTCTCTTAACGGGCAGGGAAGCTGCGTGGAAAGGGGGGCACCTCCTGGGCGAAGGAGATGCGTCTGCACCCCCCTGTGGGAGCTGAAAACCCTTCTCTAGTGTCAGCTGTGAAACATTAAAAGACTCTGAAGTTTGACAGCGCACGTACCCTCCTCGGGGGTGAGTGGGTTCAGCACGTGTGCACCTTGTGTGTCTGTGGCCTGCATTTAGTGTGCCTGGGTGCTAGAGGTTCCAGTGCCAGAGGTCAGCTAATGTTTAGCCATTGAATTTCTCAAACAGGGAGAAAAATGACAAAATGCTGTAAGAAGGTAGCTAGCTGTTCCCCCGTGCTGCTTTTTTGGTGAGGTTGTTGCCATGTAGGTTCTGGCCTGCTGACCGAACGCTTGCTTGGAATATTGTGCGCCCTTCACAGAACGATCTGGAGGAACAGAAGGAACACCTTATTTTGTTTTCCTGGAGGCAAAGTCTGCCATTTTGTGTTTCTGGGTTGTTTTTTTCGTCTACAGTTGTAATCCACAAACGGGCTTCTTGGGGTTGCATCAGGGAAACAATGCCTGACTCTTAGGCTACGTTAAACATCAATGCTTACATTATTATGCCATGTCAAATAATACACAGTGACACTAAATATAGATAATGATGCAGTTTCATTCCCGTAGGGATCTTCCATGCTTTAGTGATTTTTGCACATCCCGTGCTCTGAGAAGGGCCCTTACCGTGCAGGTCGGTTTGGTTTTGTCTGTTTAACCACCAGCCTGCTACACTTTCGCCCTGTCCCTGCAGGTCGGGACCTCCTCTGTGGTGTACCCCGCCGCAATGTTTGCCCCTCAGGTGTCCGCCAGAGGAGTGCCAGTCGCGGAATTCAACATGGAAGCCACTCCTGCTACAAACAGATTCAGGTAAAGCCATTCCCTTTTAAAACCAGCAACCTTTAGTCCCCGCCATCTTCATTGTCTTTTGCTAGAACGCCTAGGAAGTTTTTAAACAAGCACCATCTAGTTCTTTCCCCGGTGCTTAAGAAATACTGTTTTTTGTTCTTGGCGGAACTACCCTCCGCCGAGGACCCAGCGGTGTTTCTCCAGGCGCAAAGCCGAGGGCCAGCCCGGGGCCC